TCTTTGGAATGTACTAAGCATATTGTAATTATCAACATTAACATTTTCAGGTTGACGAAATGTATCGCGAAGCTCCCATCAAGGGTGGTCTGTTTGATTATATCGAATTTACCAGAATTCTGAAACATGGCGCTAAAGACAAGGATGAACAATAAGAACAGCCTCACACAATAAAGCACATTCCCCTCCGTATTGTTATTATTCCTAACATGTATTTTACAATCCAAAGTCATGCGAATGACATTACAGAAAAATCTCCATTATCATAAAATTCTTTATTTGTGTGCCGTTTTATTTAATATTCTATCTCTTATTTGATTCAAATGTATTAGTCTTAGTCCCATGTAAAAGGGTTCAGTTATCATCATTCTATATCCAATTAAATAATTAACAAAATACGATCAATTAACCCTTGCTGCAATCTACTGGATGATTTATTGTTATCAGTTTTCTTGGTACTTAAAAATTGCAAATTTTGTTTATAGTTCTGAATTGCCATTGCAAACAATCATAGATATCACATATATAAGTATTAATATGAACATCATTTATATTGAATAAACATTTTTACATACATGCGTATATAATATATATGAAAAATTTTCAACTTAATCGTCCAATATGAAATAGGTGTTAGTTAAATTTTGGAATTGATCTTGGTTTTTTCTTTTAAAACTTTTCCTGAATACAACGCTATTATATGTTTCATTGGACGAACTGTAGCAAAATCATTTGGAATATGACAAATGAGGGGAAATATAGGAATTCGTATTTACAAATACAGTCAAATATTTAAGTGATCAGAGAACATTGTTGTAGTAGTATTTAGATCTTTTCTTAGTTTATATTACAAGGATTATCTCTTGTATCTCAATATTTATGACAATAAGCCGACGGATTTCCTATTACAATTTAATTGGAGTATTAAAGTGAGAAAGTACTCGTTTATTAAATAAACTAAAAAATTCAATTTTTTCGATATTCTCAGCACAAATGATAAATATTAGCGTAGAGAAAATCAACCTAGTATTTTTTCTGAATATTTTCCCTTTGTTTAAATGTTTCTTTCTAAAATTAAAAAAATGTCGAACAAAAAATATATCTAGAATTTACCACTTAGAAACTCTTGTTGTTGCTACTTCACAAAACACTGATAAACAACTAGTAACCAAAAAGTTGACGACATACCTAAATTGGGTCATTTGAATAAGAATAGAATTTGTGATTAAAGCCCTGATAATGGTATTACTGGTATGTCTTAAAATAATTTCAATTACACAAACCAAATGGGAAAAATAATGCATAACTGTTTTGTCAAGAGATAAGTTCTGTGAAAATCATTCTTTTATTTTTAAATTTGTATGTATCTACATAGTAGTATCTACTCATGGCGACAAACTAATTGGAGGATGTCTTTGGCTGTTTTCGGACGCACATTTTGTGATCATCAGTTAGCGAGTTCGTTAAGTGTTAAATTGACAAATATTTAAATCCATTCTATAAAAAAGTTGTGGTGGAAATAGTTACTTCTAGTCGACCAAAAAATGTATTTAATGACATGACACGTGGCATGACAAAAAATTTTTTGGAAAAGTGCGCACACCGATGATGAGTTTTCAATACAAAATATTTAAAGCTCAAGTTGTGATCTTAGTTGCACTACTTCCAATTATATGGAAAATTGTGGCTTGAGACAAACCTAACTAATATAATGGCCCTTAAAATTTGCACAGTCATGATTAGACCTCGGATTATGCAAATATGCAAAATCCGAGGTCTAATCATGACTTAATAATGAAAATATCGAAATTCTGATTGGACACAAATTCGTTTCAAAGGATTTAGAATTATTTGAAGGGTTCATATTTTTTAATTTTTTGCATATTTGCATATAACGCATATGCACGAGATATGCAAAATATGCACGGTATGCTAGGTCGATATGAAATAAATATGCACGGTATGCTTGGTCGATATGGTATGCTAGGTCGATATGCATATTTTTTGCATATTCTGCATATTTTTTGAATATTCTGCATATTTTTTGCATATTCTGCATATTTTTGCATATTTTGTATATTTTTACCTATATTTTGCATATTCTGCATATTTTGCATATTTTTGCCTATATTTTGCATATTTTGTATATTTTTGCAATTTTTGCCTATATTTTGCATATTCTGCATATTTTGTATATTTTTGCATATTTTTGCCTATATTTTGCATGTTCTGCATATTTTGCATGTTCTGCATATTTTTGCATATTTTTGCCTATATTTTGCATATTTATCGCATATCGACCTAGCATGCAGTGCATATTTATTGCATATCGACCTAGCATACAGTGCATATTTTTTGCATTTTTTTTTTGCATGTTTATTGCATATCGACCTAGCATACCGTGCATATTTATCGAATATCGACTTAGAATACCGTGCATATTTTTTGCATATTTTTAACATGACTCCAAATATCGATCAATTGGAGCGTGAAACGCCTAAATACAAAATTTGAGCCCAATCGGATAAAGCATAAAAAATATGCAAAAATCCGAGGTCTAGTCATGATTGATTTTTGATTTTTGCTTATAAATAAACAAATTTTGCTAGTAATTGACAGCATTACCATTATTTTTCATTACGGTAGCATACCTACGAGACATATACTATTCCTTCATCCTGAACCTTTATATTAGGTTAAAAATGTCCTTTGGTACCTGAAAAGAGGAGGTTATATATTTTATTCGGCGTAGGGAACCATAGCGTTTTCCAACACATATCAATCCGATCCATTACTTCATAAATCTCGTAAATATATCAAACTCCATAAAAAGAGCCCAATAACATTATTGAACCTACTCCATGTTTCCCAGTACCCTGGCAATACTGTGACATGAGACTTTCATTTTTGGACTTTCTCGCGGTAATTTTTTAATGTTTAACTTTAATTCAACTGAGAGCAAAATAGTTTACACTATGTCGGATTCCAATTAATATGAGCTTTTGCGAAAGGCAATTTGGCTTTCTGATTGTTTTCAGAAATAAAAGCTTTCTTGGCTTTCTTGATAGTTTCTGGACATGTTTGCCTGCCTATATAAAACGATAACCGTCTGACAAATTCCGTTGAACTCTTAAATGGGTATTTTTTTGGCAGTAAGTCAATATTGAAAACCAGACGCATGTTATTGTAAAAAAATCAATTTCAAAATGATCTATAAGAATCGAAATAGGTGTAGGCGTACCAAAACATAGTAAATATAACGATAAAAATAACTAAAATTGTAGAGCTCATCTGTGTGTACAGTAGAGTTATTTTAGTTTTACTTAGCTGCAGGGTGCCCAAAAATTAGCTCGCGAATAAATTAAAATACATACTTTTCGTTTTGTGCTCATTTTACGAATGAATTTATGGCGATAAATTCTTTGCCAAACGAACATTCGCCAAAGAATGATCACACAACCATAAACGGTTGAGACCCCTGCAGCTCAATACGTCTAACAATGTCAATGTCCGGGAATAGCTTGTACAACTCATGGTTCATTCGACGGCAATATTCACCGTCAACGCAGATCGGCCCATAGATCTTTCGGAGTTTTTCTCTCAAACACTTCAAGAGCTGCCTCATCTGCTTACGCAAGTACCCATGCTTCAGATCCATATAGCAGCACGGTAGTATCAGCGACTTGTAGAGTGTGAGTTTGGTCTGGCGGGAGGTGGTCTTGCTTTTGAGTTGTTTGCTCAGACCATCACTATCCTTCTCCGAATTTCAAATTTGTTTTAGTTTTGTCCAAGCAAAAATTGAGAAAACTCCCTTATTCATACATTTATTAAAGATTTCAAAATGAATTTTGCATTAATGCTTTTGTTTTCTTTTTAAGTGAATAAAGTACCCGATTCAAAATTAAAAAAAAAACACGATATCCTTATTTTTGAAAAAGTTATTAAACTAAACTTATTAAACTTGCAATGTTAGTTGCTTTAGTTTTGGCCACCAGTGTAACTCCAAATGTACAGGTATACCAATCGGGATCAATACACCCAAAAATTCCTACCTAACTCGAAAAAGTTCATGTCTGGATATGATATGAACGTGGCTCTTTTGCAAAATCCTCTATTTTCGGGCACAATCTACGTTATACAATAAGATGGATCTTGACCGATTGCATTTATCATAGTTCTTACCGACAGCTACGTACAGAATAACTTGAAACAGGTAAGATTATTAGTTTTTGAGTTACCGTTCCCCCCATTCTCTAAACTCCTGTTTCGTTAAAACGCTTTTAAATTTGGAGAAGCACTCCTGCCGTTGCTTGATGTTGCTGACACAAACATTGGTTATATCTTCAGGAGTTGTTAAGATTTTTACTTGAAATTTAAAGGGGGGTTATTAAATTAATTTTTAAAACCCTAATTATTTTATACACTCTCATTCTCAGTCTATGATATCTCTACGTTAACAATTTCCAAAATCACATTTCAGCATGTATGTTTCTTCTTAACTTCTTATTTCAATTGCAATCATAAAATACCGTTAGAAAAACCAAATGTTTTATTAAAAAATACACATATTTATTTTTAAAAAAATCTCAACAGGCGTATAATAACGTGTTTTTACTCCTTGATCTTTGTTTTGCGTATATATTCCAATTGCAATAAGTCCAGTCTTTAATGTTTATTTTAGAATTTACCCGATGACTGTTGAAACATGCAGTTATAACATGCCTTAGAGCCGCCATATTAGTGACGGGCGTCTCCAGAATGGTGTGTGGAGGTGCCGCATTATTATTCCCCCCGAATTTAAAATTGAAGTCACGTACATATTGCAATAATAATAATCATTGACAATTTATCGTATATCTTCATGCATACATGCACAGAAAAAAGCAACATGTCAAATGAAGCATGTGTGTGAGAGTGTTGCGAATGAAATGATCGAGGACGGACACAAAATGATTTGTGAAACAAAGAGAAAAAGACATGGTTTTTTTTTGTTTTTTATAAAAATTTTGTATGAAAATGTTATTTGTTTTTCGATATATAAATATGTGTATGTACGCAAATTATAAATGCTTTTACAAAGTAAAGTATGTCTTTCAGTAATATTAGATATTAGGAATGAGTAAAAAATACGTCATCCAGTTCTGCAATGTGAGTGGTAAAGTGCTACTGGTACGGCCGTTGAGTTTTGCTACAGCACCTGCGCTGCGGCAATCATCATGTACGCATGCGCAGATATGATGATTGATTGATGAGACGACGACATTGATGACTTTAACCTCTCTTTTCTTCCTCGATGATCTCCTTGGTTGGCAAGGGATTCTTTTCGCATGTCTCGGTATGTTTCAGCTTTTTGGAATCGAAATTCTCAATGCCAGCAATGAAGTCATTCTTCTCCTTTTCCTTTTCAATGGCTGGAAAGGAAAACAAAGTTATGATAAGTAAACAATCTTAAAATCTAAAATGTATAAATAACAAACGTCATGTGTTTGTGTGTGTGAGTAGTAATAATACATCTAATGAAAATTTCAAAATGGCCATTAAAGGAGTAGCCCAGCCACCATTTGGTTATAGTTTGTTTTTAATGGAAATAACAACTACATTGTATAAAATACAACGACACTATTTCAGCAGCCACAGAGTCGTTGTATTTCCTACCATATTTGGCGATTATTTACAACGAGATATTTTCCAGCCAACACTTAATATGGTAAAATCTCCTCAACTCAATATTAATAATTAGTCATTGTATAGACACCATGTCGGCGACTCTCGTTGACAGCATTGGCGTTCCACCGAACATGCTCGTTCATTTAGATTTGGAAGTCAATGTTGTTTTCTTTATTTTATTTTTTAATTTCGCAAACTACAACACATATTTTGGGGTCAACATGTACATACATAATTATGATGTTAGAAATTCTTACCTTCTTTGTCTGGCAATGGATTTTTCTCTTGTGTTTCGGTATGTTTCAATTTGGATGGATTAAAGGACTCAATACCAGCAAACAAAGACTTTTGAGTCTTTTCAGCGGCTACATCTGCAAAAGGGATAACATATATGGTATTGTTATTGTTAGAATTGGAAATGGGGGTGGGGGCTAATTATTTCATTTGGTTATTTGCAGAGTTTATTACTTACCCTCGGCTGTAGGTAGAATAATTTTTTCCTGAGTATTGGCGTTCTTCAATTTTTCAGTATCAAAGCTTTCAAGCTGACTCTTGAGGGTTTCAGCAACTTTTGGAAGATCTTTAAGAGCAGGTGCAGCCATTTTTTATAACTGAAATGAAACGTTTAAAACAAAAAGATAATTAAACAAATATTCAAAGCATTTAAAATCAAATCCGTGACAGCGGCGGTGACAGCATTGTTTATTAATAGTTGTTGTTGAAATGCAACAATGCAGCAATCTTGAGTCTGTCCCCGCTCATCTTCTCTTTGGACAATTCGTGAAAATAATAAAACAAATGCATTCAAATACATACATATTTACACGTTTAGATTTTCATGAGTGACAACTTTACAAACAGTTGCATTCAATTACAACAAATATAAGGTGACGAATCTTCAGAAGAAATGTATTTTGTAAATTAAGAAAACGTTTGTCTAGATCAATCATGTAATTTTTTTATTCTTCGGTATTTAATTGATGTAGGGATATTGCTCTGTTTTTCAAAAGATGTGCCTTACGTGATGAAAATAAAAATGCCTATGGTATTTATTAATTTTAAAAATGGTATATACATATAAACATAAAAATGTATAGTCAACAACTACTGCACCCACAAATAAATTGAATTGACGTTGCACAGCTAACATTTTTTACCGAGAGGAGAGAGACCCACATTTCTGCAGAGTCCACTCTATATTTTCGATATTGTCTACTGTTTCTCCGATTACTTTTCAAGTAATCTGTCACATACTCTAAAGGGAAATTTTTGGAAGAATTGAAAACGAAATTTTAGTATTTAGGTTTTTTTTTGCTTAAGGGACAATTTGAAAATTTGATTTGAGCAAATGTGTTAATTCCACAAGGAAATAATCAATATCAATTTAGCTTTCTTCAATCAAGTGGAAGAAAGAATAGAGGCTTGTACTGAAATACATTTTAAATTATTGCAAATAAATGCCTATTTCTTTATTCTAAAAATGAAATTGATTATTTTTTCGAAACACGGATCACACAACCGATAAATTTTCGAATTTCGAAAAAAAAACGACTGATAATATTCCGATTTTTTTGAATTTCTGAAAAAAAGTATCCGAAAATGTTCCTATTTGCAAATGTTCCTTCAGAGTTTTGTCCGAAATTGTGCAGAAAATCGAAAGTAGCTGGGTATTGACGATAATAATTTATGTAGATATTTTTTTTATGTAGGTTATAATGATATAAACAGTTTTTAAAAAATTTATAGTTACATATATATATATTTTTTTAAGAAAAATAGTTTTATATTAATAAGGACACAAACAAAACAGCCAAAATAATTTGTTTGGAATATATTTAAGTTTTGATTGATGTTTTTTGTAAACAAAAAATTTATTATAGAACATTATTAGGTAACGGTGAAACAATTTTCGGAATTAATATTAAATGTAAAATATAGGTAGACAATCAATACAAATATACTTTTAATAAAGACCTTAATTTGAATATTTAACCTGAATCGATTTGAAATTCCTAATTTTTTACTTTATTACGTCCAACATAATAATATATTAAGCCAACAATCCCAATACCTTATTTTATCTTATTGTACTAGCAATAATATCGAAAAATGAGTAAAACAAATAACTTCAGAACATAACATAATGCCAACAACAAATATAATCACATTCCAAATTCTTTACTCTCGTAATTATATTAAATATTCTTAATTATCACCAACAGGAATCTTCATTAAGATGTCAATGTAAAATGTTTATATTGCTGGATTGGTTTTCAAGATTCGATTTTTTTTTTGCCGCACCCATGTCTGTCATAAAATGTTACACACACTCAAATGAATGATTCAACACAAACAGTTTGTGGACAGGATAACAAATTATATGAGCACAGACAAATATTTGTTTATAAATTTTAAATTTGAGTTTTATTACCATGCACGTAGGGGTATGGAGTATTAAATTATTTTTAAAAAATCACTATAGGCAAATAAGATATTAATTCTTTTACACAAAAAATTTAAAATAATTTATAGAATTGAGTGATTTGAATACGCTTGTAATTTAATATTATAAAAATATTTATTTTAAATCAATTTATTTTGCAATTTATAACAGTAGCAAAAACTTACATTAAATGTAAATATTTTTTTTTTTTATTTAATTTCGCAAAACAATTTTTTGGGCAAATTGTGTTATTTAGCTACTGACTGTCTATTGCGGGCGGTGTTATTGTTGATATTTATGTGGGATTTTATGTATCCAAAAACAACAGTCGAAAACAAAAAACAATCTAAATGAAACAACAGCTAACCGGCGAATAAGCGAAGTATGAAGTCAAGCAGCGAATGAGCAACTCAACCAACCAACCACATGAAACAAAGAAGAAAGTAGTGGTAAATGCAAAAACACCACTAAGGCGACAACAACGGGGAGGGGGAGGAAAAAGAGCAAAAAAAAAAAAGAATAAAATAAAACATCGATGTTTCATACTTTCGTCTTAATCATCTTATCGTCTTTATATACATACATATATACACTGTCTACCACAGAAGTACTTTATATACATTTCAACATACACAAGAGTTCCATGTATATGTAGTCACAACAACAGTTCCTTCCTCCACCAGCACCAGCAACCTATATGCAGCATTTTGGTTATGACAAAATGAAATACAGACGAAGAAATCCATGTACCCTTCTGACACAACATATGATTCATGGCATGTACAACAGCAACAACAACAACAACATAGCATGTGAAAGACAACTGGACAGCTTTTTTTCTTTTTTTGTTTTGTTATTTTGAATATTATTCTAAAAAGTCCTCCAAACCAAACACACAGGGCAGTTTATTTTATGAATTTGAAGGGGACTTCGATTTTCGACACTTCAGCGAAGAAGGGGTGAAATAAAAGTGAATGAATATGTATTGTATGTATACACAGGAAATAAAGTACTCCTCCCTTTAAAAGGGAGTATGCTCCAAACCCATACAGACACAAACACTCATATTGCTGTAAAAGAATTCACTCCCCAACAATGTAAATTAATATTGGAAAATATGTTGAAATATTCGAGAAATTCGATTTACTTTCTTCTTTATGAAACGGAGAACAACGAATTTGGCTCATATTTTAAATATTCATAAAAATTATAAAAATATATATGGGAGTGTATTCGTAGCTTTACGATGGACAATGGCGATAAGGTTGATTGCAATAATTGAACGAACGGATATTCAACCGACTACCTCCTTAGCATAATAAATGAAGAACGATTGGAAAATGGAAAGTATTGCCTTGTGCATGTTTAATATGTGCCGGCATAAACAACAATTCTCTTATATACATCGAGTAGACACAACAACAATATGCATACATATTGTATACTATATACATATATATTTCTGTAGAATGTTGCAATAACATAGCCGGTCGGAGAAACACCACCGCCATCAATGTCAAGGGAACATAAAACAGAATGGGGGTTGATGTTACGTGGCCATATCCGCCCAATAGTTAAGAACCAACAATATATTGCTCTGTTAACTAGGAAAAATATTATGTTGTAATTCTAATGTTGGTTAAATACAGCATAAATGATTTTCTGCTAAATATCCCACAAAGAATTTTTTTTTTTTCAATTTATAAAAGTTTTGAAAACTAATTTTTATAATTTTATTTGGTTTTATCTGTAATATATTTTATATGTTACCAATTTTCATGTTAGCCACAAAATTTTTTTACAAAGAAATATTTTTTTTTATATTTATAATAGTTTTGAATAATAGTTTTAACTATTTTTAAAAATATTTGTGGTTTTATCTGTAATATATTTTATATATTACGATATGCTGTTAGTCACAATTTTTTTAATAATTTTAAATATTATTAGAAAAAATTTTAAATATTATTAGAAATGTTTGTGGTTTTATCTGTAGAACATTTTTTAAGAAAGCAAGGAGATCAGAATAACATTTCAAGAAAGAAAGAAAATAGTTCAACCAATGCTGATTAATATTAAAATGTAGATAAGCTTAAAAACTAAAACATTTTAATACTTTTCTTCTTTAATGTATTGTTTTTTAATTGCTATTCAAATTGGAGAATCAGCTGAAAACATAATCGTATTGTTCAATATTCGGAAATGGAAACAATAGTTCTTCTAAAAGCAACACCTTTCTCCAAGACGTTATGTCTGGAACTGTTATCGCCAAGTTTAATAATTAATACAATAACATTTTCAAGATTTTTTTCTGATGTAAAAATAAATAAAAGGTTGCATACGCAGCAAAACTCAATTTTTGTTGATGCGTAAAAGAAATTGTGAAATGAAAATATGTATAAAAATCAAAAAATACTACATCTATATGTATGCAATTTCATTTTTTGTCTTCGGCAAATTATTATCCGTTAAAATTCCCTATAAAGAAAATAATTAGTTTGTTTAGAGAGAATTTAGAGAATACTCTACAACGCTATAATTCGTAGTTTAAAAACTGCTACGTTGTACAGAAACTCGACTGTATTGTATCTAAATATTTTCACTTAATTCCCCCAGGACTTCAAATTTCAAAGAAAGATTGATATCAATTCAAATGTCTTATCGAATTGCGCATTAAACAAATAGAAGTCTTTGTCCAAACAAATTAAGTTTAATGCAAAAAAAATGTTCACAATGCAAGGTTAATGTTTGTTTCTTTTTTTTTTGTTTATTATTAGGCAGAGTGTCTTCAACTCTGTTTATCTAATCGGTATATTATTTTGCAATTGATTAAACATACAATTGATTCATTCAAACTATGAAGAAACTGCAGTAATAAAGAAATTCTAAAAATAATGTTGACAAAGAAAAAAATGACATCTGCAAGTTCTAGAATAGGTAAAGGAAATTCCGAAAGAAAATTCATAGTATGGTTACAGATATCTAAAAATAACCGATTAATAATGTTCTTGTTTGTAATTAAATTCATTGTAATTCAAATAATTGTTGTATTGATCGAATAAGGTTGATGAAAAATCTAAAAGAAAGGGCCAGATGTTTTCAATAGATTTATAGGCAATAGAAAGCCTTATATTTATGGTAAAACAAAGGTACTCTACCTTTTCTCTGTCAAA